GGCCGGGCACCCATTTCGGGGCCAGGCCATGCCCCCACTTCGGAGCAAGACTCAGAGTTGAGTCTTAAGAAATACATTACGTTTTGAAGAAGCCCTGGGACTTCGGGTGAAGTTAATTTCAATGGAAATGTTATCTGTCCCTTTTGGAGGGATACAGGGAGGCTGATCAGGGACTACTCCAAGCCTAGGGCCTAAAGGAAACAATCTCCTAATCCTTGCGGGGAATGAAGGGCTGGGAAGGAGAAGCGAGAGGAAGCCGGCCTGCTGGCAGGAAAGAAGAGCCCTGGGGGATGCCCTGTCCCTGTGTACATCCACAAAGTTCTCGGTAAAGGGATTTGAAATTCTTTGTTTGCGTCTTTCCCTCCTCTCTCCTCTCTGTGGGTCAGTGAGGAAAGACCAAAACCGCGGAGAAGGAACAGGTACCCCTTTGGTATCCTTAGGTTAGTGAAGGCTCAAGCTCTGGCAAGGCTTCAGTGAGAGACTGGGTCGGGAATTAGGAAGCGAGATGGGGTGCGTAGAAGAGGAAAATAGGGAAGAGACTGGCAGAGCGGGAATTCCACCGCGCTGTTCTGACATCTCACACCAGCTGCAAAGAAAACCTAGAGACAAAAAGAAAGGGGGAAAGAGAGACACAAATAAATAAACAGCAACAACAAAAACACACAAAAGAAAACAGGGACCAAAGAAGAAGAGAAACATAAAAGAAAAAAAATAAAACCAGGAGAAGAGGCTAACCTTTGCTTGCTAGGGGAGGGTGGGGAATGTAAGGAAAAGCTAACTAACTGGTACAGAAATTAGAATGTGATTAGGTTGGGATTTCATGTAACTTGAAAAGAAGAAGCAATTTTCAGAAATGAAGAGGATAGCAGAAAAGGGAAAATCACAGGTTTGGGAAATAGAGTGGTTCACAGTAGGGAGGAAGCAGCAGCTTTTCCCCTCAGGAATAGTGACTATTGGTTTGGAGTGTATGTGTGTGGGCACCTACATAAATGCACTTTTATATTTGTTGGTATTGGTCATTGTTTCTCAGTCTTTGTTTAAAAGCTTTAATGTGTTATATGGTGCTACATGAATGATCTTTGCTTCTGAAAAATTATCCTGAAAAAGCTGTTTGTTTTTATGCCAGCAATAAGGATGAGCGGGAGCTGATTCTAACAGGGATATTGACCCTAGTATATCCATAGATTCTATTTCGTAAATAGCAATTTGGACTCTTGATTTTAAGCAAAAGAAACGTGAGTGCTGCTAAAGGCAATAATGCAGTGCAGGATGTAAAAGAAAAAGAGCTTTCATGAATATTTTTCCTCTCAGTTTTTCTCTTATTTGAAGCATTTTGTGGCTAAGCAGACTAATTTTATGCAAAATAAAATGTAAAATCTTGGGTCCTTTCAATATAGAAATGATAGCATTTCATGTATCAGTGAATCATTTTGTAAAAGAACCTCTTCAAAGGCTTTCTTTAGTGATCAGGATGAAAAGGAGAAAAAAGAGAGACCTGAGTAACTGATGACAGCTATGATCCATACAGATTTCTTGAACCATTCTACTATTTTAAAAAGAGCTTTAACGTATTCAATGGCAATGTTTTTAGAAACACATTTCAAGTATAAACTAGTTTAGAGCTGCACATTTGGAAAATTTTTATACATGTGTACTGTTCTTTAGTTTCTCCAGAGTGCACGTAGCTCTAGTTTTATATTCAATTCTGAACAGATTAGGCTGTTGAACCAGAGTGGCACTGATGCCAGATGGTTTGAAAATATGCTAAGGCGGAAAACATAAATGTGCCTGCACTATGAACACTCATTAGGGATGCCTTTTCCATATAGCAAGCTGATTATTTCACTGAATTTGGAGGACAGTCCATAAATGCTGTACTAATTGTTTCATCTTTCATGATACTTGTATTATAAGTTCTTTTTAAAAACAAATGAATGCCTGGTGGGTGTGGCTCAGTGGTTGAGCATCAACCCAAGCACCAAGAGGTTCGATTCCGGTCAGGGCACTGCCCAGGTTGTCCGTCAAATCCCCAGTGGGGGGCATGCAGGAGGCGGACAGTCCATGTTCTCTTGCATCATGTTTCTATCTCTTTCTTCTTCTCCCTTCCTCTCTCTCTAAAATCAACAAAGAAAAAAGTAAAAAATAAATAAAAATAAATGTGGGTAAAGTTTTGCAGTTATTTATTAATGAGCTTAATAACAGGTGAGATGGGTTCACTTTGGAGACTTTCTCCCTTTTGTATTATATTTCACAAAACTGAAAAGTGATGTTATACTGTATTACACACTTTCTTTTGTTGGGCACAATAATGTGATATTTGGTACTAGTTTGCTTTAAACTATAGCTTTATTCTTAAATGGATGTAATCTTAAATTATTAAAACAATAACAAATGTAGCTGAGGAAATAACATTTTTATGTATTTGTTGCATTGTGGATTTGGGCTCAAAGACTACTTATTTGAATATTAACAGTGTAGTCATGAGTTAGCCAGGCTTGTATGACTGAAGCTGCTGATTACTAATCAGGATATATACTTGAGTTTACATTTTGGAGATCTGTATTTTATATAGTTAATCTTTAAAAGTAAATATTTAGCCCTGGCCAGTTTGGCTCAGCAGTTAGAGCGGCAGCGTGTGGTCCAGAGAGACCCGGGTTCGGTTCCGCTAAGGGCACGTACCTCGGTTGCAGTTTGTGCCCGGCTCTGGTTGGGTTGTGCGGGTGGCAAACACTTGATATGTCCCTTTCAAGTCGATATCTCTCTCTCTCTCTCTCTCTCTCTCTCTTTCCCTCCCACTCTATCTGAACAAAAAATGGAAAAATGTCCTCGGGTGAGGATAAAAAAAATAAAAAATAAAATAAATATTTACGTAATTTTTAAGATAGTTGCCAGGTTTTGGTCTTAAAGAATACTTCATCTCTGTAGTTTATATCACCAGTATTTTATAATGTATTTAAGAGTATATAGGTGGTCTTATATACCTTTGGTCCAAACAAATATAATGATATACTTTGGGAAAGAAGCATATCTGAGCAGTTTAAGAATGATATTTATTCAAGGGAATTAAAATTGCGTAAATCATATTTTATTCAAAGTTTTGTTTTTGATTTTTAGATTTAGATTTGTTTTTTTTAATTGACTTAGGGAGAGAGAGAGAGAGAGAGAGAGAGAGAGAGAGAGAGAGAAACATCGATGTGAGAGTGAAACCAATCAGCCAGCTCCTGCATGCCCTCTACAGGGGATGGAGCCTGAAACCAGGGCATGTGCCCTGACTGGGAATCAAACTGATGACCTTTCAATGCATGGAATGACACCCAACCAACTGAACCACAATGTCCAGGGCTAGATTTAGATTTTTAAAAAATATCAAAGCTTATCTAAGAAAATTGAAACACTGACGTGGTAGACATATCATATACATATTTATAATTTTAAATAAAATAACTTTGTAACTCAATTTTAGTGATTTCATAGTTCCCATAAGATTTCTGACTCTCTTTTTCCCCTTCCTTTTTTATTTATTTATTTATTTTATCCTCACCTGAGGACATTTTTCCATTTTTTGTTCAGATAAAGTGGGAGAGAGGGAGAGGAAGAGAGAGAGAGAGAGAGAGAGAGAGAGAGAGAGAGAGAGAAACATCAACGTGAAAGGACACATCGAGTGGTTGCCACCCACACGACCAACCAGGGCTGGGGACAAACTGCAACCGAGGTACATGCCCTTAGTGGGAACCGAACCCGGGTCTCTTGGGACCACAGGCTGATGCTCCAACCGCTGAGCCAAACTGACCAGGGCTTTTTCCCCTTCCTAAAGGTCTTTCCCTTTTTTGGTTGTTGGAAGGAATGAAAGGAGATAGAAAGATTCTGATGTTTCTAAGCATTTCACTCAATTATGTTTTCCTTCTATGTAAGTCTATTTCCTTTACTTTCCAATACTGTCAAGAAGAAGTTTGTTAAAACTTTTATGGTCCGAACTGTACTTGGGATGGTAAAAAGAGAACAATTTCTCTTCGTTATTATGATATCAGAGGTTTGTTAGTTCTATGAAACACCCCTTAAAATGTGTCATAGACAAATGATTCTTCTTGGAGGTCAGAGAAAGTATGTGTATGTTTGGGTGGGGGGGGTACACATTATGATTGATTGATTAATGTCTACTTGTTAAAGCCAGCTTATTCTAGCATTGTTTGGAAATGGAAAATTGATTGGAAATGGAAATGGAAAATTGATTGATTTGTGCCTGGACTTTTAAAATATTTTATACTGTTTCAACATTTAAAAAAATTTAAACAAACACTTCCTTTGTTCTATAAGTTAAAGTTAATACCTTAAGTAAAAGTCAGAAAAATCTGCCCTGGCTGGTTTGGCTCAGCGGTTAGAGCATCAGCCTGCGGTCCAGAAAGACCCGGGTTCGGTTCCCGCTAAGGGCACGTACCTTGGTTGCAGTTTGTCCCTGGCCCTGGTTGGGTTGTGTGGGTGGCGACCACTCGATGTGTCCCTTTCACATCGATGCTTCTCTCTCTCTCCCTCCCACCCTATCTGAACAAAAAAATGGAAAAATGTCCTTGGGTGAGGATAAAAATAAATAAAAAGTCAGAAAAATCTAACTGTGGACCTATTAATGCCAGAAAATATTCCAAATACTTTACATGCGTATTTCTTTCAATCCTCACAGCAATCCTATTAAATAGGTACTATTATAAGATACTGTGAATTAGAGAGGTGTGTTCTAAAGTAATCCCAGTTTCAGGAACTGAAATAACATCAGGCAAATATGCTTTTCATCTAGAAGTGTTGAAGAGCTCATTCGTTGCTCCTTTAGTTGCCTTGTGTCATCACAGGTCTTGGCAGCTCTTCTCAAGAGACTCCCATTCGGTAAAACATCGTGCAATTACTATGTGATTTAAGAGTGCATTCAAATAGGTTACCAATTTCCTATAACATTAATAATTCATTTTGGAAAATAACCTCCCCTCTTTGGCAGCTGTTTTCTATCTTCTCTTCTAGTCCACATCCTGTAGATGGATGGCTAAGGAGAGGCGGAACAAGGAGATACCAGGAAATGAAATTGTAGAATCCCAGGCTGCAGAGATAACAGGATGCTCCACTGCACTTAACAGGAAAACACGCTTTTGCTTTTCATGAAAATAGTGTAACTATTCGGCCTAAGCTTTAACTTTACCTAGAAGTATTTTACTAAAGGATTGGTGGATTTACATTATTTCTTGACGTGAGAGGGCTCTTTGTAAACTTGTATCTAATAATAGCAAGAATTAAAGAATAAGGTACTGGGGGGAAATCATCTTCCTGAATATTCATTTAGTATGGTTAGAGAGTTTCAGTGCGTAAAGGAAAACAAAAATGATTCAGCCCTTCAAAAGCATTATTTCCTGTTAGTTAATAACAGAAACAATTATAGTTTTTATTAAATTGTCTTGATTAGTTTAACTCTGAGTAATATACCATAACATTTCTGGACACAAATCTGAGTTTTCAGAGATTGGTATTCAGTTTGTATACTTTAATGTTTCACAGTGCATGGATTGAAAAGCCATTTGGTTGTAGCTTTCTTGCAAAAACAAAATAGTTAAACAACAGTCATTCTATTAGATACCACATGTTTAGGGGTTGAGTACCACTAATTTAAGTAGTCCTGGCTTATTGCCAGTATTAATAATCTACTTCATTCCAATTAATAGTTAGTAAATTGGACACAGATATCAGTAGGGTTATGTGTAAACAGAAACATTCACCTCTTTCCAACTCTTTGTTTAACTAAGTTGTCTTTCGTAACTTTTGTGTAGTAATTTTTTATAATTCCCAATTTCTTAATATTAGATTTCCTATGATATTCTGCATATATCCACATTTTGAAACTTTTATTGAAAATAGTATAATAGTGACTTGGTTGTTTTACATAATATAGAATTTTTAAAGTGTAGTTTTCAGTTATTGTATTTCTTACTAATAGTGGGTTTAGCATCTACATGATTCTTTTAAAGTTCCAATGAGGAGATTTAATTTCTTTTCAAAGTTACATTTATTTTTAAAAAGCCAAGGAATAAACTTTATTTTTTATCCTCACTGAAGGACATTTTTACATTTTTTTTTTCAGATAGAGTGGGAGGGAGGGAGGGAGAGAGGGAGAGAGAGAGAGAGAGAAACATCGATGTGAAAGGGACACATCAAGTGGTTGCCACCCACACAACCCAACCAGGGCCAGGGACAAACTGCAACCAAGGTACATGCCCTTAGCAGGAACTGAACCCGGGTCTCTCTGGACCACAGGCTAACGCTCTAACCCCTGAGCCAAACTGGCCAGGGCCCAAGGAATAAACTTTAAAGTTTTCTAAGACTGAATCATGTCTAGAATAATAAAGTGATATTACCTTTTTTTTGTAGGAGATGGCAGATAGTTACTTTGGACCTGTTGGTAATGATGGCCTGAGCTAAACACCTCCTCATTTGAAGGGGACACCTGTCCGTGTTAAAGCACAGAATGCTGAGGAAGCTGTGGCAAGTATGTGCTCCATTGTTTTGGCAAGGGAAAACTCAGGTACTGAATGTGCTCACTTTAAATCCCATGACCTCTATTTGACTCAAATTTTAAAAGCTCTTTTTTATTCCTTTATTGATTTGAGAGAGAAAGGAAGGGAGAGGGAGAGAGAGAGAGAAACATTGACGAGAGAGAACATCGGTTGGCCACCTCCTTCATGCCTTCCTGCATGTGGGGATCGGGCCCACAACCTGGGAATGTGACCTGACCGGGAAATTGAACCGGTGACCTTTTGGTGCATGGGTCGATTCTCTACCACTGAGCCACACCGGCTGGGCTAAAAGCTCTTCTTAAAAAAAAATCCAGCAGACATATTCCTAATACTTTCTTAAGAAATGTACTTTCAAACTTTAAAAATATAAGAGTATTGGCTGCTTCAGTTTAAAAGAAAAATAGCATCATATGTCATAATATATCTATATGCTATATTTATAACTGATTTTTTTTTTCCTCACCTGAGGACATTTTTACATTTTTTGTTCAGATAGAGTGGGAGGGAGAGAGAGGAAGACAGAGAGAGAAACATCAACGTGAAAAGGACACATCGAGTGCCTGCCACCCACATGACCCACCAGGGCCGGGGACAAACTGCAACCGAGGTACGTGCCCTTAGCAGGGACCGAATCCGGGTCTCTCTGGACCGCAGGCTGACGCTCTAACCGCTGAGCCAAACTGGCCAGGGCTATAACTGATTTTTAATTAATATTTGCTGAAATCCTGTTTCAGGCACTGTATCAGGTACTGTGGTAACAGTGGTAAGCAAGGCAGAGACATTTTGTGTGAGGAAACTGATCCAGAAATTTTACTATTTTTTTTTTTGTTGTTGTTATTAATCCTCACCCGAGGGTATTTTTCCATCAATTTTTAGATAGAGTGGGAGGGAGGGAGGGAGGGAGAGAGAGAGAAACATCCATGTGAGAGAAACTATTGCCTCCAGGCTGGGGACTGAACCGCAAATGAAGTACATGTCCTTGACCAGAATTAAACCCGCGACTCTTGGTCTGAGGGCCGATGCACTAACTATTGAGAAAACTAGCCAGGGCTCAGATATATTTTTTACATAATTACCTGTATATGTTATTTATCTGATAATATATTAGCTTTTTTAAAAATATATTTTTATTGATTTTAGAGACAGAAGAAGGGAGAGAGAGAAAAACATCAGTAGGCTGCCTCATGCACAACCCTCACTGGGAATCAAGCCTGAAACCCTCCTACATGCCCCCAAATGTGGGTCAAGCCTGCAACCCAGGCAAGTGCCCTGACTGGGAATCGAACCTGTGACCTTTCAGTGTACGGTTCACAGGATGACACCCAACCAACTGAGTCACACACATGGGCCAATATATATTGGCTTTTTTTTCCTTTTAAGAGAGAAATAGAAACATCGATGAGAGAGAACATCGATTGGTTGCCTCCTGCATGCCCACCACTGGAGATCAGGCCCACAACCTGGGCATGTGCCCTGACTAGGAATCGAACCGGTGACCTCTTGGTGCATGAGTTGATGCTCAACCACTGAGCCACACCAGCTGGGCTATATTGGCTTTTATAAGAAGCATTAGCCCTGGCTGGTTTTGCTCAGCAATTAGAGCGTAAGCCCACGGACCGGAGAGTCCCGGGTTCGATTTCTGCGTACTTCGGTTGCAGTTTGTCCCCAGCCCCGGTTGGGGTCGTGTGGGTGGCAACCACTTGATATGTCTCTCTCACATCGATGTTTCTCTCTCTCTCTTTCTCCTTCTTTCCCTCCAACTCTTTCTGAAGATACATGCAAAAATGTCCTCAGGTGAGAATAAAAAAAAAAAAAGCAGCATTAGATTACTTAGTATATTGAAATATTTATACTTTTGTTCAATTGTTATTTTAGATGATTCCAGAAAGTACTAAGAAAGATTACCTAACCATTAATATGGTGTTCGCTTTCATTTTTTAAAAATTGATAAGTCCTTACAAGTTGACATTACCAATTTAATTACTATTATATTTCAAAATATTTTTGTTGTTGTTAATCTTCATCTGAAGATATTTTTCCATTGATTTTTAGATAGAGTGGGAGGGAGGGAGAGAGAGTCAGAAACATTAATGTGAGACACATTGATTGCTTGCCTTCTGAACAACCCCTACCAGGGCTGGGATCCAACATGCCCTTTGCTAGGAATCGAACCCATGACCCTTTGGTCTGAGGGCTGATGCTCTAACCTCTCAGTCATATTGGCCAGGGCTCAAAATGTTTTTAAAAATTAAATTATTATATCCTGAGTGAAATAGATAACAATTACTGTATTTTATAAAGGGGGAACATAACAGATAATGAATGGTTTTTCAGAGCCTCTCAATGATAATCTCATGTGGAATCAAGAATAGCATTCTTGTGTTAGACTGTGTGTTAGCCTGTTTGTGAAATACTTAACACACCTCCTTGAGAAAAATAGGGGAACACTATTTCAGCAGAAATTTACTTTTGGATCATTCAAACTTAAATAATAAAGACAGGAGATTTCATGCTAGTTTATATATCACTCTCAATATGTTATATACAGACTGGCTGGGATGTTAGAGTCCTGGAGACCTTTCAGAAAGATACTTCATTCCTCCAATCTGGGGGCAGAGTTTGCTAGGAGAAATCTGTCCAGCTTGGATTCTTTTCATCTTTACCAGTATTGAGGTCAGCTTTCTCAGGTGGAAAAAAACAGGAAAGAGGATAGAATTTCTAAACCTTTAAGGCTTAATTAGCATTAACAAAGGGATCTTCGGAAATTAGATTTATCTTTGGCCTTATTTTCTTAGATGCTTTCATTTTTATCACATTCATTTCTGTCTTTATTCACCGTAATTCTTGAATTTTGATTGTCTTGAGACCACTTTGGAAATTTTCTTAAGATTTATCTTAGTTAATAATTTGAGGTTACAAAAATTTTTTAAAACATTTGTTGTGGATTCAAATTTGGGTTGACAAATTTCTCATTTAATTTTTTCCAAGAACTTAACTGATGTTTCTGAATATTTTTATATTTTAGCTTTGAGAAGTGCTTCAAGTGTGTAAAAGCGAAAATGTTTTTGTTTGTTTTTTAATTTAAGAAGTGCCCTCTTGGACACTTTAATTAAAAAAATTTTTTTTTACATAGTGGATATCCTTTGTTTTAATTCGATCCCATTATTCTTTGTCCCTACTATTATTTCAAGCATTCTGTGATTTTGGTGGATTTCTAACTTTTAGTTTGAATACAAACATGTAAAAATAACTGTTTTCAGCTGGCTAAACATAACTCTGACTCAGAGAGGGAGAAGTGAAACTAAGTAAAATACAGAGTCCAAAGAATTTTCAGTGTATGTATGAATACATAGTCCAAAGGATTCTCAATTTGTATATTTTAGCTACCCTAAGAACAGTTTTATGTAGTTGGTATTAGGTCAAAACTAACATGATCCTTAAAAATCATAGTTATCTTCTAAATGTTCTTATTTGATCCAGAATTGGTATAAAAAACGAAGTTTGTTTTTATTCACATAAAACCTTACCAAAATAACATGCTTTTGTGGCTAACTAGGCCAATAAACTGCTATCTGTTAATCATTTAATTTGAAGTATAAGACAGCCAAAAAAATAGAGCCTTGGAAATTCAGTGTAGTTATGGCTCTGCTTAACTATAAACAACGTTGGATTTTTTTTAGTACAAAGTGTAGAATTTGAAACAATCCACTCACTTTTTACAGTGCATACCATTGAGAACTTATATTTTAATATCTTTAAAAATGTTACACCATTACAGTATAGTTTTCTCTTGAAACAGAAATAATGATTCCAAGCAAATTGCATTTGCTTTCTTGTAAAGATTAATTCTTTGAATGAATTTATCTCCCTGTTTCATTCTTACATAGTCCACAAATTTAGATACATACTGTTCATACATAAAACTGATTTGTTACAACAGAAATCTAGATGCTGGTAAATATTTGGTGAATAGTCATTGCTCTATTTTATTAAGTAGAACGTTTTATTTATTTATTTTTTTATTCTTACCTGAGGACATTTTTCCTTTTTTTTTTTTTTCCAGATAGAGTGGGAGGGAGAGAGAGAAAGAGAAAGAGAGTGGAGAGAGAGAGAGAGAGAGAGAGAGATGTGAAAGGGACACATCAATTGGCTGTCTCCTGCACAGCCCTGGCACAGCCCTGACCCAGCCGGGCCAGGGACAAACTGCAACCAAGGTACGTACCCTTAGCGGGAACTGAACCCAGGTCTCTCAGGACCGCAGGCCAACACTAACCGCTGAGCCAAACCGGCCAGGATAGAATGTTTTATATTCTAGGATGTTTTGTTTTGGGGGTTTTTTTGTTTTGTTTTGTTTTTTGGTACATGCCCCTAGTGGGAACTGAACCTGGGACTCTCTGGTCCTCAGGCCAACATTCCAACCGCTGAGCCAAACTGGCCAGGACTGTTCTAGGATGTTTTAATATTTTAATGACTAAAGTAATTTTATTAGTAAAGATTTTACCATTGAAAGTAATCTGCCATAAAGCAACACAGTTGTTCTTGATAGCTCCTCTATAAATGAGTGTTTAGGGAAGTAAAATATATATTATATAATGTGCAATACAGATATATTTTAAAGGCTTTTTTTTTTCTTAAGCAAATATTATTGGGACCTTGATAGGCATTGTGTTGGGCCCTGGGGAGAGCTAAACAGACCTTCTTTCTGACCATGTAAGAACAACTGCTATTAGAACTGTCCAAAATTTGTATACTGTGACAAAATAAATTTTGCTTTCATTAAATGCTTTTCTGGAGAGAAACTTCGTTGTAATTATTTTGATGAGTTTAGAATCATGAATTGATTAAGGATTAGCCTAGTTTCAGGAGAAGAGCCAGGATGCAGATAGGACCATGGAAATTGGTTTGGCCTAGATCTACACCTTGGGGATTATGGGTAATCTTGAGGGTTCTTTGAACCAGTCTCACTTTTCAGACCTGGGGTAGGAGCTGCAAAAAATATCTGGAATAC